GAACCTGAACTCGGCTGTCAGATCACTGGCTTCAAGTCCAGGTTGTGCCATCATTAGTTGTGTGACTTGGGGTGAGTTTCATGACCTCTTTTTTTTAACAGCTTGCTTGACGTATCATTTATATACAATAAAATTCACTCATTTTAAGTGTACAATTCAATGATTTTTAGTAAATTTATGGAGTTATGCAACCTTCACCACAATCTAATCTTAGAACATTTGTGTTACCCCCAAAAGAAAGCTGTGGCCCATTTGCAGTCACTCCCTGTCCCCACTCCCAATCCCAGACAACCACCAAGCTGTTTCCTGTCTCTGTAGGTCTGCCTTTTCCACATATTTCTCAGAGCTTCTTCAAACCTCAGTTTCCTTGTCTGAAAAGTGGGTTAACTGATGGTCCGTAACTCATATTATCATTGTGTGGATTAGGTGGGATAATACATGTAAAGTATTAGCCCAGTGCCTGGTATTCATGAAGCGCTCAATAAGTATTAGCTATCATCATTATTTTACCTAGCTGTCTGCAATTCTAAGGGATCGGATGCATCACATTTTCCTAGAGAGATCTAAAACAGTAAATCCGATTTAGTCAATGTCTTTCTTCACCCTCTTGGTACACACTTCCCAGTGGCAGTGCAGGGAACTGACTCCTGCCATTAGAAGTGACTCTCTCAGGTGAAAAATGCTTACTTTTCACACAATGTAAGTCTTTACTTGCCACAGAGGGGCTGGAGTTCCACCGTTGTAGATCAGAGAGGCTTCCTGTCCCCCTGAGGAATGGCAATGAACTCTTCAGTGAGAGGCAAAGAAAAATCAAAGGCGGCTTGATTGGGTGGTAGATTGGAGAATATTGTACCTGAGTCCTATCTGTTCTAGTAGGGACTGTGTGCTGACTCAGGCTGAGGGTGGGCCAAAGTTTAGGGGCCTGGAAGAAGGAGAGAAGGTTAAGCGGTTCTGTTAACAAGCATTTTGTTCTGATTCATCACCACGGATAAGCAGTTCAGCTAATCACTGATGAGGCAACGAAAGTGAAGTTGGAGGCTTTGTGTCTCGCCTTGTTGTAGGTAAACAATGGGGGCCTCTGTGAGTCTTATCTAAGTCCTGTGGGGAATGGTGGTTCTTGGCAATAAACTCTTTTCTGGAACACAAAGAGTAGGGGGATTTCTAAACCTTCACTGTTTTCCTGGATCACAGGACTCAAGTAAAATTTATTGTCAGGAAGGATCACTTGCATCAGTTAGGATTGCTTTTAGCTGCAAGTAACAGAACACTGGACTAACAATGACTTAAACAAAGAGAGGTTTATTTTTCTCACCTAAGAAGTAGTTCAGAGATCAACAGTTGCTGCCATTGGTCTAGCTGATCGATGATGCCAGTAAAGCTCTTTGAGTCTTTTTTCTCTGCCTTCCCATGTTTGTTACCTCTTTATCCCCAAATAGCTGCTGCAGCTCCACACATCTGTATTCAAAACTGGAAAGAGGTGTCATATGGCTACCTCTACCTGCATAGGAGGCCAGGGCATTTACTAGCTGTGCACATTGCCATAGGTGTTCTCTTAGCAAGAAAGAAAGGAGTATATGCTGTACCAAATCTTCTATTTCTTCTGGTAGTTGTATTCTACACAAGATATTGACTGATTCTCTATCATCAAATAATTCTTTTACTATCTGAAGTGTAGGAAATGAAATGTCCTATAAATGGAGCATCAGAAAAGTATGCAGCATGTTTTATTCTAGATAAATAAGTGGACCTATTCTTGGAAGTGGTTTTCTGGAGGAGCTTCAGGAAATGCCAGGAACCTCTTGAGTCAACTTAGTTGTAGTCATTTATGGAAATGTTAATAAGCTTAGGAACATGTCTGCAACAAATGTTGCAGAGAGTTAACATCTTTGATTTTCAAGAGATCTCACACATCAGTAATAAAAACTTGGCCAAAATCAAGCTAAGATTTATGCTTTTTCCTTCCAATTGTTTCTACAAACAATGGTGCCTAATCCTGGTGAGTTGCTCCTTTGCTACTGGTGAGAATATAAATTGGTACAAACTTTCTTAAAGGTTTATAAAGAGTATAAAGAACCTTAAAATGTTAATACTCTTTACCCTAAAATTTATCTCTAAGGAAGCTTAGCTAGTGAAAAAATTAGAATTATGGATCATTTTGGTCCATATGAAATAATAGCTTATTCCAGCAGTATTTATATTTGTCAAAATATTTGGAAACAGAAATAACTTATGAGAATAATTAAATTAGATGTGATCTCTCCATAGCCTCAGTAAAATATTGTTAAAAATAAGAATATAAGCTTTTTATACCATATTATTCCGATTTTGTAATGTATAGAAGTATTTATTTACTTAAAGGAAATATGTCAAAGATTACCAATAGGTATTTGTGGATTATGAAGTTACATGCCTTTTTATTTTCTTTATTCTTTTTGGCATTTTCCAACTTTCCTACAATGAATATGAATTATTTTTATAGTTATAAAAAATTCACTTTATTTTTTAAAAGACAAAATAAAAATATGATTATGTTTGCTGGAATTCTTTTTTAAAAGAAATAATGGGTGAAAAGGTGCTTTGATCCAAGAATTTGGGTGGGGCTGTTTAGCCCTTGAAAAGAACATTTTATTGAGAGACTAGGAAAGATGTTACCGAGCATTTTGTTCCTCTGGAGTTCTGGTCTTTCTCAGTTCTGTCTCGAAGGGAGTATTTAAAGGAAGTTGTGACAATAGTTCATTCTTCTGTATTCACGTAAATCACATCGTTCTGTTTTTCTCTTCCTAGCAGGCTTTCTGTTTTTCTTTTCTGTGATGTGTGTAGGACTGAGGTCACTAAGGACTGTAACTACCTTCAGGAGGGGAAGGGAACCAGTTTAAGGAAAGAGTTTGCCTTAATTTATCCAGATAACCAGAGCTAACTCATGTAAGGTTGGGGAGATAATTATCTCAACTCACAATTATCTCTTTTATTCAGTGTGGGTAGAAAATGGGGCCACAATATTCGTGAACAAAGAGCTAATTGTATCTCTTTCAAAGCTGATTAAAATGTGTGTGGGTGTCAGTATGTGGTATGTAGAAACCCTCACTATCTTCCCACATGTGAACGTGAGGGGAGCAGACAGGAGAGAGAAGGGGATCTTTCTCCTGAGATCTGCCCTTCCACTGGGGCATCTATGGCACAGCACTTAAGTTCAGATCTGCTAGTTTGTCATTTGATGGTTGGAAACCCTTGGTATAGAGTGGCATACTTCTACAGCTGGAAAATCCTTATGAATTCAATTTCAATGTTACCTTCCATTTCTGGCTGGGTTTTTCACATACATCTGAAATTCCTAACCTGGGCTGTATTAATCCCTGGGTTACGCCACCTGAGCCAGGAAACCCTTGAAGTCTCAGAATCTCTAGAAAGATTCACCATGTTTACTCCTTGACTTCACATAAGTCCTTGGCATGATGTTTAAGAAGATTGCTCGATTCATGTTCAATTAACCAATAACATTGAATTAGCACTAAAAGCTTCAGTTTTGTTTATTTGTTTTGTTGGTTTTCTTTTGCATTGAAACTGGTCTTGGTCTTGATCTAAGAGCCCCTGGTTTCATCTTAACAATGGAGCCTTTAGGCAAGGTGATGGTCGGGAATTGTTAGTTGCCCTTGACCAGAGTGAGATGTCTAGTGCGGCAACTCTAGCCCAGAGCCCTCACAGACCAGGATGTGGCTTAATGTGGAAACAAGGGAAATCTCTTTTTGTACTTTGGAATCTAGAAATGGTCTTTTTATGCATTAAAGGGACTGATATGATTTGAAGCTGGTGTTTTTTCCCCTTTTCATTCTTTTATACACAAGTCCTTTATATAAAAAAGAGGCAGCTATTGAAAAATTCTGTCTTGCAATTGATACAACAATGTGTTGGGTTTCATCATGCCCTGAGGATAACCAGAATAGTTACCTGTCCCCGGACTGCAGGCTGCCTATATGACACCCCCACTTGGATGTTCACTGAGCATCTCTATCTCAACTTGCCCAGAGTAGAACTCCTGATTACCCCACACCCTACAAACCACCTCTCCCCAAGTTTTCTCTCTCTTAGAAAATGGAGCTCCCATCTACTGGTTGTTCAAGCAAACGTTCTAAGAGTTATCCTCATTTCTTTGCTTTCTCTTTCCCCACAGCCCATCTGTCAGCAATTCCTGTTGACATGACTTCCAAAATACGTTTCTAATCACTGACTTCTCTCCGTCACTGTTGTCACCTCCATGTTCAAATCACCATCATCTCTTATCTGGACTGGTCTTCTAAACCATCTCCTTGCTCCATTACGATCTATTTTCTACCAGGCAGCAAGAGTCGTCTTTTTAAAGTTATTCTCCTGTTTAAAGTTGTCCCCTGTTTAGAGTCATTTATTAGTTTTCCATAGCAGTTAGAAAAAATCTTTACCCCTTTCCCTGGTTTCCAAAGCCCCTTGGGGTAGGGCCTCCACTACCCTTCTGACCTCGGCTCCTGCCACTCTCCCTCACCCATAGCTCTCCAGACCCCTGACTTCCTATTCTTTGAGCATTCCAATCCATCATCCTGGGGCCTCCCCGCTACCAGGAGTGGCCTTGCTTCATCTTCCATGGCTGGCTCCTTCTAATATTTAGAACAAGATGGTCTGATGAATGTGATCCCTCATAGAGGCCTTTCCTGACCACCTGATTATATAGGATGCCGCCCCCCAGCCCCCAAAGCATAATTTTTGACACAACCCTTCTTATATCCTATTTAAATTACCTGGACAGTCTTTATAGCTATCACCACCCCCCCATGTCTACAGCCAAATATAAGACCCATGAAAGCAGGGGAGCAGGGACCCCATCTGTTTTCTCACCATTGCGTCACCGAGACCACAGAGGAGGCTCCCAATAAATGGTGTTGCATGAACAGCTGTTTTTCCTGTGCTGTGTCAGCCAGCTGTCTCTCAACTTGGGCATCACTAGGTTGTTTCTGCCTGTCCTGTTTTCACAGGAGACTGGACTTTATAAATATAAAGACTTTGGTGTTCTGAAGGACTGCCCGCCAGCTCTACTCGCAGATGTCTATATGGACCTAGACTACAGAAAAGAGTGGGACCAAAATGTTAAAGGTGAGTGATACCTACTATGTTTTAAAAATGAATTAGAAAGTAGAATCTATTGTTATTTATTCTAGTCAGTAGAAAGCAACAGGTTTAATTTCTACCATATTATGTTTCATTTTTCATTTTGGCCTAAAAGTCTTAGGTGCTGGGCTGACATGTGCCTTTGCTATTCTAGGACTCGCTCCTTGCATGCTCTTAGATCCACTGTCCAGTTTGCTCTGAGGGCTACTTTGTTCTCACTGTAAGTTCATTGTCATCCCATATACCTAGGTCATCATAGCAGGCTTCTTGGAGGTGGTGTCCAAGCTTTGTTTTTATAAAAGTTTATAAAACTTAATAGTTTAAACTACTAAATTACTTTAAAACATAAAAGTTTATAAGACAAGTTTATAAAATAAAGTTTTATAAACAACAAGAATACATGTATTGAGGAGGTGAGAGGGTGAGGGGATGAGTGGTGTAAAGGCATTCGAGGCCCAGGAACAGCATGAGTAAGGTGAGGAAGGCATGAAACAGCATGAGATGTGCAGACACTGAGAGCAGGTTGGTGGTGTTGGGTTGTTGGGGTGGCAGACTCTGAACTGGGTGGGAGGATCCGCAAGAGCCTGGCCTGGCCACCAGGCTACAGTTCTTAGATTTTACCCTCTAAGTGGTGGAGCATTATGAGAGGCATTAAGTAGGGAGTCTCCCTGCCACCCCAGTCATGGTGGAGGAGAACTACGGAGCCAGCCCAGGGGCACATTAACTCTGCAAGACCCTTGCTGTAGTCAGGACTCTTGGTTGCAAGTAACAAAAAGCCAACAAATGCCAGTGTAAGAAAAGGGAAAAAGTTTCTTGGTTCATGACTTTGAAAAGTCCATGGGTTTCTGGCTTCCAGGACAGCTGCATCTAATACTTAAATAATTTCTCCATCTCGACGCTGTTTTCTCCCGTGATGACCTAATTCTCAGGCAGATTCTGAGGTCATGGCATAGACGGCCACTAGAAGATCCAAGCTTATATTCTTACCATAGAAATACCCCCAGAGGAAGAAGAATGAGAATTCCACTTTCGTATCAATGGCAGCCAGAGTTCAGGATTGGCTCTCAGCACCTCAGCATGGATCACGTGCTTATTTCCTGTGGACGTTTGTCACGGTTTTGGGTGACTTAGTGTTTTCAAATAAAGCTTCCTATCTAGGGGGAATTGTGATGCTTATCTATTTAAGGGAGAAGCCAGACCTTCTCTGTCTCAGTCTCCCTAGCTGCCAGGGTTCGGTCTTGTGATAGAGAGGTTTTCAATATGATGCACATGTGGCTTCAGTTTGGGCGAAAGCAACTCGAGGAAGCAGACAATATGCAAAAGTCCATTTTCCAGTGACGGTCAGGGCTAAGGTATCTGACTCTTGGGGAAACAGTTGCAGAGCCTCTAATGTTTGGTACTCAGCATTAGCAGTTCATGCTATGGTGTCCGGTCCAGTGGCAGCAGCCGTTTGGCTTCTCTGGAACAATCTTGAGGTTCTAAACCTAACTCTGGTCCTCCTAGATATAATTTTTTTTTTTTTGGTGAGGAATAGTGGCCTGAACTAACACCTGTTGCCAATTAACCTCTCTTTGCTTGAGGAGCACTGGCCCTGAGCTAACATTTGTGACCATCTTCCTCCATTTTATATGTCGGTCCAGGCCACAGCAGAGCGTGGTGAATGGTGTAGGGCTGTGCCCAGGATCAGCACTTACAAACCCAGGCTGCCAAAGCAGAGCGCATGAACTTGCCCACTACACCGCTGGGCTGGCCCACTCTTAGGTATTCTTTGAGCTACCTGAGAGCCTTTCCTAAGCTACTTTTTGGCCTAAACTTTTTTTTTATTGAGGTCATATTGGTTTATAACGTTGTGTAATTTCAGGTATACATCATTGTATATTAGCTTCTGTATAGGCTTCATTGTGTTCACCACCAATAGTCTAGTTTTATCTGTCACCATTCATATGTGCACCTTTTCCCATTTTTCCCATCCCCCCCCCACACTTTTCCCCTCTGGAAGCCACTAATGTGTTCTCTTTATCCATGTGTTTGTTTATCTTCCACATATGGGTGAAATCATATGGTGTTTGTCTTTTTCTGTCTGGCTTATTTCACTTAACCCAATACCCTCAAGGTCCATCCACGTTATTGCAAATGGCACGATTTTGTCTTTGTCTATGGCTGAGTAGTATTCCATTGTTTATATATACACCATATCTTCTTTATTCATTCATCAGTTGAGGGGCATTTGCATTGCTTCCATGACTTGGCTATAGTGAATAATGCTGTGATGAACAGAGAGGTGCCTAGATCTCTTTCTGTTGTTGATTTCATGTTCTTTGGATAAATACCCAGTGGTGGGATAACTGCATCATATAGTATTTCTATTTTTAATTTTTTGAGAAATCTCCATACTGTTTTCCATAGTGACTGCACCAGTTTATGTTCCCACCAGGAGTGTATGAGGGTTCCCTTTTCTCCACATCCTTTCCAACACTTATTATTTCTCATCTTGTTAATTATAGCCATTCTGATGGGTGTAAGGTGACATTTCATTGTCATTTTAATTTGCATTTCGCTAATAATTAGTGATGTTGAACATCTTTTCATGTGCCTCTTGGCCATCTGTATATCTTCTTTGGAAAAACATATGTTCATATCCTCTGCCCATTTTTTGATAGGGTTGTTTGTTTTTCTGTTGTTGAGTTTTATGAGTTCTTTGTATATTTTGGAAATTAACCCCTTGTTGGATGTATGATTTGCAAATATTTTCTCCCAGTTGGTGGATTGCCTTTTCTTTTTGTTCCTGGTTTCCTTTGCCTTGCAGTAGCTTTTCAGTCTTATGTAGTCCCATTTGTTTATTTTTTCTTTTGTTTCCCTTGCCTGAGTAGACATGATATTCAAAAAGATGCTGCTAAGACCGATGTCAAAGAGTGTACTACCTATATTTTCCTCTAGGAGTTTTATGATTTCACGTTTTACATTCAAGTCTTTAATCCATTTCGAGTTAATTTTTGTGTATGGTGTAAGATAATGGTCCACTTTCATTTTTTGCATGTGGCTCTCCAGTTTTCCCAACAGCATTTATTGAAGAGACTTTCCTTTCTCTGTTGGATGTTCTTACCTCCTTTGTTGAAGACGAGTTGTCCACAGATGTGTGGTTTTATTTCTGGGCTTTCACTTCTTTTCCATTGATCTGTGAGTCTGTTTTTGTGCCAGTCCCATGCTGTTTTGATTACTATAGCTTTATAGTAGATTTTGAAGTCAGGAATTGTGATGCTTCTAGCTTTGTTTTTTTTTTTCCTCAGGATTTCTTTGTCTATTCCAGGTTTTTTATTGTTCCATATAAATTTTAGGATTCTTTGTTCTATTTCCCTGAAGAATGTCCTTGGGATTCTGATTGGGATTGCATTGACTCTGCAGATTGCTTTAGGTAATATGGACATTTTAACTATGTTTATTCTTCCAATCCATGAGCATGGAATATCTTTCCATTTCTTTATGTCTCCTTTGATTTCTTTCAATAATGTCATATAGTTTTAGTGTATAGTTCTTTCACCTCCTTGGTTTAGTTTATTCCTAGATATTTTATTGTTTTTTTTGCAGTTGTAAATGGGATTGTATTCTTGACATCTCTTTATGCTAGTTCATTATTAGTGTATAGAAATACAACTGATTTTTGTAAGCCGATTTTGTACCCTGCAGCTTTGCTGTGGTTGTTGATTATTTCTAAGAGATTTATGGTGGATTCTTTAGGGTTTTCTACATATAGAATCATGTCATCTGCAAATAGCAAGAGTTTTACTTCTTCCTTTCCAATTTGGATCCCTTCTATTTCTATTTCTTGCCTAATTGCTCTGGCCAAAACCTCCAGTACTATGTTGAATAGGAGTGGCAAGAGTGGGCACTGTTGTCTTGTTTCCATTCTCAGAGGGATGGCTTTCACTTTTTCACCGTTAAGTATGATGTTGGCTGTGGGTCTGTCACATATGGCCTTAATATGTTGAGGTACTTTCCTTCTAGAATACCCATTTTGTTGAGAGTTTATATCATAAATGGATGTTGGATCTTGTCAAATGCTTTCTCTGCATCTATTGAGATGATCATGTGATGTTTGTTCTTCATTTTGTTAGTATGATATATCACATTGATTTATTTGCAGAGGTTCAACCATCTCCGTGTCCCTGGTATAAATCCCATTTGATCATGGTATATGGTCCTTTTAATGTGTTGTTGTATTCGATTTGCTAATATTTTGTTGAGGATTTTTGCATGTGGCTTCATCAGTAATATTGGCCTGTAATTTTCCTTTTTTGTGTTATCCTTGTCAGGTTCAGGCATCAGGGTAATGTTGGCCTCATAGAATGAGTTCGGAAGTGTCCCGTCTTCTTCAATGTTTCAGAATAGTTTGAGAAGGACAGCTATTAAATCTTCTTTGAATGTTTGGTAAAATTCTCCAGAGAAGCCATCTGGTCCTGGACTTTTGTTTTTTGAGAGGTTTTTGATTAGTATCTCAACCTCTTTACCTGTGATTGGTCTATTCAGATTCTCTATTTCTTCTTGGTTCAGTTTTGGGAGGTTGTGTGAGTCTAAGAATTTATCCATTTCTTCTAGATTGTCTGGTTTGTTGGCATATAGTTTTTCATAATATTCTCTTATAGTCATTTGTATAGTTTCTCCTCTTTCAGTTCTAATTTTATTTATTTGAGTGTTCTCTCTTTTTTTCAGTGAGTCTGGCTAAGGGTTTGTCAATTTTGTTTACCTTTTCGAAGAACCAGCTCTTATTTTCATCGATCCTTGCTATTGTTCTTTTAGTCCCTATTTCATTTATTTCTGCTCTAATTTTTATTATTTCCCTCCTTCTGCTGACTTGGGCTTTGTTTGTTCTTCTTTTTCTAGTTCTTTTAAGTATAGTTTAAGATTACTTATTTGAGATTTTCTTGTTTGTTGAGGTAGGACTGTATTGCTATAAATTTACCTCTTAATACTGCTTTTACCGCCTCCCAGAAGTGTTGGTATGTTGTGTTTTCATTTTCATCTGTCTCCAGGTATTGGTGATTTCTCCTTTGATGTCGTCATTGATCCAGTGGTTGTTCAGTAGCATGTTGTTTGGTCTCCACATATTTGTGACTTTCCCGGCCTTTTTCTTGTAATTGATTTCTAGTTTCATAGCATTGCATTCAGAAAAGAACCTTGATATGATTCCAATATTCTTAAATTTATTGAAGCTTGCCTTGTTTCCCAACATATGGTCTGTCTTTGAGAATGATGTGCTCTTGAGAAGAATGTGTAATCTGCTGGTTTTGGATGGAGTGTTCTGTATATATCTATATAAAGTCCATCTGGTCTAGTATTTCATTTAAGGCCACTCTTTCTTTGTTGACTTTCTGTCTGGGTGAGCTATCCATTGATGTAAGTGGGGTATTGAGGTCTGCTACTATTATTGTGTTGCTATCAATTTCTCCCTTTAGGTCTGTTACTAGTTGCTTTATATACTTTGGTGCTCCTGTGTTGGGTGCATATATATTCATAAGTGTTATGTCCTCTTGGTGGAATGTCCCTTTTATCATTATATACTGCCCCTCTTTGTCTCTCATTGTCTTTTTTATCTTGAAGTCTGCTCTGTCTGATATAAGTATGGCAACACCTGCTTTCTCTTGCTTGCCATTTGCTTGGAGTATCGTCTTTCATTCCTTCACTCTGAGCCTATGTTTGTCTTTAGAGCTGACATGAGTTTCCTGGAGGCAGCCTATTGTTGGGTCTTGTTTTTCAATCCATCCAGCCACTCTGTGTCTTTTCATTGGAGAATTCAATCTATTTACATTTAGAGTGATTATTGATATATAAGGGCTTAATACTGCCATTGTATCTCTTCTTTTCCAGTTGTTCTATGTATCCATTGTTTCTTTCCCCTTGTATTTCTGACTGCCATTTCAGTTTGGTCTTTTTCTGTTATGATTTTCTTGGTTTTCTCTTTATTTATGAATTGTGGCTCTGCTCTGATTTTTTGTTTAGTGGTTACCATGAGGTTTGTATAAAAGATCTCATAGGCAAGATAGCCCATTTTCTGATTCTCTTATCTCCATTAGCTTAAGCATGTTCCATCCCTTTCATCTTCCCCTTCCGTGTTATTGTTGTCACAATTTGTTTTTTTCTGTGTTGTGGGTTTGTGACTAAATTGAAGTGTTTACGGCTATTTTTGATGCTTTCCTTCCCTTTGTCTTTTATGTTATAAATGTTTCCTAACCTATTTTGATATAGAGCTGCAATTTTCTGATTCTATCTGTCTACTCATCTCCTTGCTCAAGGTTTTGTAAACATTTGCTTTTTAGTTTCAGATGGGGCAGCTATTTTCAACATTTCTTGTAAGCTAGGCCTAGTGGTGATGAACTCTCTCAGCTTTTGTTTATCTGGGAAAGCTTTTATTTCTGTCTTATATCTGAAGGATTGTTTTGCTGGATAGAGTATCTTTGGCTGAAAGTTTTTGTCTTTAGTATTTTGAATATATCATTCCATTCTCTCCTAGCTGATAAAGTTTCTGAATGCCTGATGGGAGTTCCTTTGTAAGTTATTTTCTTCTGCCTTGCTGCCCTTAATATTTTTTTCTTTGTCATTGACTTTGGCCAGTTTTAGTAGTATATGCCTTGAAGAAGGCCTTTTTGCATTGATATAATTAGGAGTTCTATTGACTTCCTGTACTTGTAAGCCCAGTTTTTTCTGCAGGTTTGGGACGTTCTCAACTATCATTTCTACAAACAAGCTCTCTGCTCCTTTCTCCCTCCGAATTACCTATAATCCTTATTTTGCTCTTCCTAATTGAGTTGGATATTTCTCAAACAATTTCTTCATTTTTTTAAAGTCTTAGTTCTTTCTCCTCCTCTACCTGAAGCATTTTTATATTTCTATCCTCTATTTATTTTATTTTATTTTTTATTTATTTTATTTATTTATTTATTTTTGTGAGGAAGATCAGCCCTGAGCTAACATCCATGCTAATCCTCCTCTTTTTGCTGAAGAAGACTGGCTCTGAGCTATGATCTATTGCCAATCCTCCTCCTTTCCCCCCTCGCCCCAAAGCCCCAGTAGATAGTTGTATGTCATAGTTGCACATCCTTCTAGTTGCTGTATGTGGGACACCACCTCAGCATGGCCAGAGAAGCGGCGCGTCAGTGCGCACCTGAGATCCGAACCTGGGCCACCAGTAGCGGAGCACGTGCACTTAACCACTAAGCCACGGGGCTGGCCCCGATATTTCTATCCTCTAAATCACTAATTCTGTCCTCCATAATGTCAGCTCTATTTTTTCAGGATTCCAGATTATTTTTTATCTCTTCAATTATGTTCTTCATATCCAGAATTTCTGTTTGGCTTTCTTTTAGAATTTCAACCTCTTTGGTGAAGTATTCCTTCTGTTCATTAATTTTATTCCTGAGCTCATTGAACTATCTTTCTGAGTTTTCTTGTAATTCACTGAATTTTTTATGACAACTATTTTGAATTCTCCATCATTTAGATTGTAAGTTTCTGTGACTTCAGGATTGCTTTCTGGAGCCTTGTCATTTTCCTTCTGCTCTGAAGTGTTACTGTAGTTTCTCATGGTGTTTGATGAACTGATCCTTTGCTAAGGCATTTGTGGTAGTATCAGGTCACAGATTCCACCTGCCACTGAAGGGGTGGGCAGGAGCTGTGTTTTCTGATCCTGCCACATCTTCTGGAAGTTGTGCTGGTAGGGCTGATCTACCTTTGCCTGCTGGCCGCAGCTGCTTGGCGGGTCACACACGTATGTGCAGCTGCTCTGAAGCAGGATCACTGCCTCAGCTGGGGACTGGCCAAACAGGTGCACTAGCAGGGAAGGGAGGGGTGCTTTCTTTTGCATGTGCAGCACAGGTCAGTACTCATGGGTGGTTCAGCTGAGCTGCTGTGGTTGGTGGGGGCTCCTTCGCAGGGGCAAGCTGTGCCACACGGTGGGGAGCATTTCCGTGGGTGGAGCCCCCGCGGCATGGTGGGTGCTCCCACGGGCCGGGCTGCAACTCCGACAGTGTTCATGTGCAGGCTTGTCTGCCCCGGCATCCTCTTACAGTTGCATGCCCCTGGCTGTGTGAGAACCTGCAAGCTAGATTGCTGCCACCATGGAAGGGGAGGGATCCACTCAGCTAGTTCAACTGCTTCCTAGGGATCCAGTTCACTCACCTTCAGATGTATGGCTGCATGGATCTCTCAGACGTCCTACTGTGCTGTGTAGGGAATCCTCTGTTGGTTAATGAATGTCTGTTTAGTTGTAACTTAGCGGGGAGAGAGAAAGGGAACAACTCACTCTGCCATGATGCTGATGTCACTCTGGCCTAAACTTTGTAGGGTGGCAAGCTAAGACCCTGACACCATCCCTGAACTAATCACCATGGTCATGTCTTGCTCATTTTCCAAGCCCTGAAACTAAGGTCAGTCAGTCCTGCTTAAACCACATAGTTGAGAAGCAGAGGAAGGGTGATGCACTGAAAGAGAATTAAGATGTTGGCCGAAGAAGGGCAGAGTCAATACTGAGCATGCAAAAGCAACAGATGTCCACTCCTTTCCTTCCTTTCAAGGGCTGTCTCCAGCTTCTTGTGGCACCAATGGGCTGGCAAGCTCTTTCATCCATGGTCTGCTTCTAATGGATTTTCTTTCAAAAGCTGAATTAAGTAATACGTTTTCCCCATCAGCATCTCCTCAGGGGACTCTTTTGGTTATTTTGGCAGCCTTGGCTTGGCTCCTTCTCTAAATGCTTAGTTAGAAGCTTACTGCACAGCTTGGGGTCAGAGGGTGTACATGACATTGAATTCCTTTGCTGTCTCCCTCCAAGAGTTGGCTGCTATTTGCACACAATAGCATGATGGAATATTAAGGAAATTTGGTCACCATAGCTGTGGTAGAGTGTCAAGAAACATGGGAGGTAAGCAAGAAACTTAGAGTGAGCCACAGTTATGCCACTTTCCAGCTGGCTTGGAAGGATACTGCCCTCTCTTAGACCTTGATCTCCCAGCTGAACATACTAGAGTGGGTGACTCAGTCCGTGGTAATATAACTCAGGTAATATGTTGGGAAGGCTAAAGAAGGAAGAAAGGTCTCAAAAGCAAAAATATTGGTAGTCTAGTGACATCTGGTGGCTACTCTGATGTAAATCCCGAAAATTTATTTTTGGGTGCCCGATTTTGTTTCATTGCATGCTGTCTGAAAATCTTGTTTGTGATATATGATGGACAAGTTTTATTGAGTTTTTTTATTTTTACTGTATTTTTATATCTACTAGACTCTGCCTCTGGGCAAGAAGCTTTCAGTGGTAATGAATTTGTCTGACTTTTTCTAGAATTTTGTGCCTCATGAGTTAGTGGTTTATCCTACTTGATGAGGTGAGGTCATCACCTGGGCTTCGGGTTAATTGAAGCCTAAGAGGCTTCCAAGTGCATTAACTTCTTTTATTCTCCTTAGAACTCTATGAAGAAGAATGCAACGGACAGACTGTGGTCTACCAGCAAGTGAAGAACCCTTTTCTCATGCCCAACAGAGATGTATCCTTTCCCAAGTTCACCATTGCTCGGCATTCTAAGTGTTTCTGTGCCCTTGGCCCATCGCCCAATGGCGGCATGTCCAGCAGGTGTGGACATTGTCTCTGATTCTTGCAGAAGCATATTTTGGAGCTGCTGCTTCTTCTGTGGCTCTCAGAGACCTCAGAGTGTGATTTCTGGGGCTGACCATGTGGAGCGTCCTGTAACTGTGGTCACTGGAGGGCAGCTCATACTTTCCTGAGGAGTTTCCTAGGGCTTGAAATTGTTGGGCCACAGACTTGGGGACCTGGAAAGAATTCTTTATAACGAATGTTTAATACACTCCCTCAATCTACAGAGGAGGAATTGGGACCTGGAGAGGTGAAGTGACAGAGGCATACATATGGGTGGTTAGTGACCGAGTGGGGAACTCAGGCCCCCACATTCCCAGCTCTCCCATCTCCCCTCCTGTTTCACTGACCCCACAGCGATCCCTCCTTGACTTTTGGCTCTGGACACCGGGCGTGTTTCTTCCCCTCAGTTTCCTCATTTATGAGATGAAGCAGTTGAATAGGATGTGGGGAGTTTTCGCTGGCACTCCAGCATTCTAGGAAGCCTGCTCAGGACTAGGCTGGGAGGGCGGGGTGGACATCTGCTGGGTGGGCAGGGTGGGGGAGGATGAGTGACAGGCAAGTTTTCCACTCCTCACTGTCCTCTTCCATCACAGCAGCTGAATGTTTTACACCCTGAATTTCCATGCAAGATCCTTTTAATGAAGAAGCTTTGGATTTAAAAAAAGTTTGGAAACCACTGAATTAGATGATTGCGGGGATCTTTTCTAGCTCTAACATTCTATAAGTCTGTGTGTTTCTAAGTAATTCTTCTCTAGAAAGAGAGGGAGCATGTGGGTGTGTTTTGTGTGTATGGTTTTGTGTTTTTCTGTCTAAATGTATTTGTCTACCCTGCCCCTAATTAGATTATAAACTCCATAAGAGTTTATTTCTTGGCACAATTCCCACATACTACTAGATAGTTTGTATACACATGGTATATATTTCAACAAATTCTGGATTACTTAATCCCTTGGATTTTATGTGGTTTTCTCTAATCCTGCCAACAACTGTGCAAGGTAGGCATCATCATCCCCATTTCACAGTTAAGGAAACTGTGGCAAGGAGACATTCAGAACTTTGCTCAGGGTCACACAGCTAGTGGTTGGCAGAGGCAGGTTTGGGACCAGGTCTGGTTGTCTCCAAGGATGGTGATCTTGACCAAGGCATGCTCCCACCACTCTGACCTCACAGTGACACTGCTGGGTAGGTATTCTCAGGAGTGGACACTTGGGGCTCCTTTAAATTCTATTTCATTGGTTTCCCAATGCCACATAATTCCATAATGAGTTTCTTAGTCTTTGTATATGCACATATGTCTCTCCAAGAAGGCTCATTAAATTTTTGAGAACAGAGAATAGCACAGTGGAAATAAACAATAGTTTTGGAGCAAAATATTGCAGGTTGAGGGTGAGCTCTGTCCCTGGTTTGCTGTGTGACCTTGGAAAAGACCCTACACTTCTCTGGTCCTCAGTGATCTGGTGGTGTTCCTGTTATAGGCTTTATGGTACGCTAGACCTTCCAGCCCTTCAAAGACCTCTGCTAAATTTTAATCAATATATCAAGTTAAGGGGCTGGCCCGGTATTGTAGTGGTTTAGTTCGCACACTCTGCTTCGGCGGCCTGGGGTTTACGTGTTTGAATCCCAGGCGTGGACCTACACATTGATCATTATGCCATGCTGTGGAGGCATCCCACATACAAAATAGAGGATGATGGGCACAGATGTTAGCTTGGGGACAATCTTCTTCACCTGTGTGTGTGTGTGTGTGTGTGTGTGTGTGTGTGTATAAAGTTAATTTTACCTCAATGGAGAGTCAGGTGGTGTTTATCACATGAGCTGAGCAATGAGTTGTGGGAGAGAGTGGGACAATATTTGCTGTGGGGAAAAAGAGGCTTAGGAGAGAGGAAAGCCAGGGCCAAAGCAACATCATTTCTTCCCTAAAACATTTAAGAACATCACTCATCAGTATGTAGAGAATGCAGCCATTAGCCTGTCCTGAGGCAGCCTGAGTGAGGGGTGGGACAACTGTTGGGGGCTGTAGAGATGCTGAGGTGGCATGGGGTTGTGGTTCTTGCTGTTATGGTAAGCGTTACTGTGTTATACTTAGAGTGACTTTTTTTTTTTGCTGAGGAAGATTCGACCTGAGCTAACATCTGTTGCCAGTCTTCCTCTTTTTGTATGTGAGCCACTGCCACAGCATGGCCACTGACCAATGAGTGGTGTAGGTCCACGTCTAGAAACTGAACTCAGCCCACCAAAGCGGAGTGTGCCGAACTTAACCACTAGGCCACCAGGGCTGGCCCTAGAGTGATTTTTTGATTGATTTAGGCTTTTAATTCCTCCTAATGTGAAACCTAAAATTATATCACTTGAAAGTATGATGAACACATTCAAGAGTTGAGCCCTGTCCAGCTATGAAAGTCTAGCTAGGTTTTGGAGCCAGATCTGGGTTCAGATTCAGGTTCCATCCCTTCAGCTGGGCTGTGGGATCTTTGACAAGTTTCTTAACCTCTCTGAGCCTCAATTTTGTCATCTGGAAGATGGAGATACTTACACCAAACTCACAGGGACTTTCTCAGGATCAAAATTGATGCTCTGTGTAAAGCACATGATGTTTATTACATGGTAAGGGCTCAGTAAGTGGTGACTCTTATTGTTTCTTAGGATTTAATTGTCTCCCCTAGAATAGGGCCATAGGTACCGTGGTTGTTCTGTGAGTGTTTATTGGGATAAAATGACTTTGTTATTCTTGGTGAACCAGTGTTGACCCAGAGAGGACTTCTGCCTCTACCTATTCGGGTACTTGGGTGTCTTCCTATGATCACCAGGTGTGGGTAACATCTCTGACCATGCTTTGTGCATAGAGGGCAGTAGTTAGAGTTTTGGGGGAGGGCAGGACAAGGAGACATGACCCCATTGTTTATCGACTGTTTATTCTGCTCCAGCATTTCCCTAGTGCCCTCACCAAGCCTGCCTGCTGGGCCGTGTTGCTCCGTTTTCCTACTTAGGGAAACTGAGCCTCAGAAAGTTTGAGTAACTAACCCAGGATCTCACAGCAGATAAGTGACCATCCTCTCATATCTCATAGTACCTTCTTGGAGACAGAAGGAGTGGTTTCCCTGCCTAAGTGAAAGCTTCACAGCATCAAGGAGTCATTGTCAGAGGTGATGCATGCTCTCAGATGAGAATGCCAGGTGGGAGGAGGCACAGTCTTGCAGTGCAGGTAGGGAGAGGGGCAGGTAAGTGAAGCAACCTCACAAGAGAGCAAGAGTCAAGTGGGAGGAACAGAACCACCTCCCTTGTCTTCCGGCTTGTGGGGCTTTCCTTCTGCCTGTCTGAAATGCTGGCGTTGGTGTCATGCCTTGACTGGCAGTGCAGTACGTCTACATCCGGGAGAAGCGAGAGCTGGACGTGGAAGGGCGGAAGATCCACGTGGTCCTGGCCCAGAGCACCTCCCATCCAGAGTTTCCCGAGAGGTCCGGTGTGATCCGGGTGAAGCAGTACAAGGAGAGTCTGGCGCTCACGAGCGATGGCGGGAACGGGAGCAAAGGTAAAGACAGCGCCAGGCGGGTGCAGGGTCAGGGTCACGTGGGTGAGGGCCGTGCTGATTGCGAGGCACATAAAGTGCGCAAAGCTTGCTCCCTGAGGTCAGAGAATGGCATGGGTGCAAAACAGACAAGGGATCCACATCCACAGCTGGGGAGAGACCCAGTTCACCCCAGAGAGTGGGTGCAGTGGAAGGTGGGTGTCTAACTCTGACTCAGTGCATTCTTGGCTGACTCTTGCATTGTCCAGGTGAAATCAGAGCAGCCTAGTAAACCAGCAGGTTTAGGAATTCACAGCAGGCTGTCCTGTGGACACATCCGCCAGTCCTGGGGGTGGGCAAGACGGCTGGCGGGACTGTCTCTGAGGACGCAGCTCCCACTCAGCAGAAACCCAGACACTCAGGACCTGGCTGCCCTGAGCTCCAGCCAGGAGGAAAGCTGTGGGCGGAGAGTGCGGCCTGTGGCCACCTCCTCTGCTGGAACGAGTGTGGCCTTGTGTCTGAGGCAAAATCTGAACCGGAGTTCTGAGGCTTCTTAGACCTGTCACCTGGGATGTGTCACCTAACTTTTCTGAGCCTCCACTTTATCATTTATAAACTGGAATTATAAATGCAATTTTACCAATTCCTTAGGATTGTTAGGATAGGTAATGAGAGAAATAATTAAATGAGAGACTGTCTCCAAGTGTCTGGCACTTGCCAGGTGTTTAATAAATAGCAGGAAGATGTGCCTGTGGGTGTGTTTTCAAAATGTTTATATATAAATATCCCCTAAGACAAAGAAGAGGAGAGAACACACCTGAATCACGTGTTACCTCCCTCCTTACTTTCTGGGCATGTATTGAGAAAATAGGATGGTGGAAGGTTTGCGGGGTTTGTTGCTGTATCTTTCTCACGTTTTTCCTCCTGAATTGTCCTTTCTTCTCCTCCCTAGTTTTCATGTACTACTTCAATAATCTGGGTCCCCGAATTCCGACCTGGCTCATTAACAAGGCTTTCAAGGTGAGATCCCAGGAGGTGGGAGGGGAAGCGTGTTTGACAAATGTTGACTCAGCCCGTGGGGCTGTCTCAGGACTAATGAGGCTCCTTTATGAAGCAGCTTGGTTGAGTGACTATGGGTAGGATGGGGGTTGCCAACTCCCAGGCCTGAGGCTGGGACAAAAGACAAAGAGTCCTTAGCTGGAATGCCAGCCCCTCCGTGCTGGTGCCCGGAGACCCCGCCAGGATTGTTCTCTGGAACCTCCGAACAATAGCCTGCTCCTTGTAGGAACAGTGGTACCATTGGATCCTGTATGGGCTTATGGAGGAGTAAGACAGGCGACCTGGCTTGGGACACAACCAGATGTGGCTAAGCCTGGGGGCAGCCTCCAGTTTTGTTATTGTTGTTTTGTTTTTCTGGAAGGAGAGGGAACTGCAGGTGTTGCCCAGATCACTAGAGACTGCCTGGAGCCTGGCTTCATGGGGCCCATTCAGCCTGCTTTGTGCACACCCTACTTACTGGCTGGAGGCCTCACCAGCTTCCTTGGGAGAGAAAAAGCACATAAGCTTTGAGTCAGACATATGACATTTTGAATCCTGGACCTGCCACTGCCTGTCTCTGTAACCTAGGGATGCCATCCATCTTCTCCTTTTTAAAAAAGGAGGTGGATGTTACCTATCCCTTGGAGTAGGAGTAATGAAGGTGGTGTTTGGGGGCAGTCTTGCACAGTGCTCAAAACTAACTAAATCATTACATATCCTCTCTCGTCCCCAAATCTTTCCCATTTCCTAATTCTGTAAAGCAAGTCCTTTCTCTCATTTCTTTGGAAGAATCAAAGAACCCAGCCCAACTCTATCTCTAGTGTTTTCTTTTTCTTTTCAAGAAACGGTGTCTCAGAAATGTCTCAGCTTTTCTCTAGCAAAAGGCAAAATGTAAGGCAGTGTCTTGTAACCGTGGCCCCTGTCGTGTAGTCTCTTCCAGGCCCTGGCTCTTACCTTTTGTCCAGATCTGTGGCAACGTTCTGTTGGAATCTGGTCAGAGGCCCTGTTGTCTTTGTTGTTCCCAAAGCCATCTCTATTTACCTTTTGTCACATCCCCAAGAACCAGGAGTGATTGCCGTGAGGACAGAGAAGTGACAGTCTCTTTTGCTTTGCAGAAAGGAATTCCTACCTTCGTGAAAGACCTGGCGAAAGCCTGTCAGAACTACCCCGGGAGAACCTAAGAAAGAGGATTGGGCACCTCGTGTCCAGGGAATGATGTCTCCGGAAGCGCCACAGCCCGTGGATGCTCAGCCTTCTCTGCCCTTCCGCCTGTCCCTCCCCAGCACAGCGTCCCTGCGCGTGTCTGCCTGACGCCCGGCTCGCCCCGCTGCTTCCTATCCCCTCTCCCCACGCGGACCGCGGCCTTCTTCCACTGTGAATATGGGTCAGATCAGGGAAGCCTCTGCTTGTTATGTTTGCAAAGGGAAGTCCTCAACAGGGAACAGTTGTTCCATTGTGCCATGTTGGGGGGATAGGGGGGAGGAGGAACGACAACAGAAGGTGACAATGACCCAGCCCCGCAAGCTGCCTCCTCCCAGGCTGTGATTTCCTGCCCCCAAGAGGGGCTGCTGGACGCTGCCCTCCCCTCAGGGTTGCCTCTCAGTGCACTGACTGGAGGACACGCGCTGATGTCCGTTTGCCTTGGCCGTTGGGGACTTGATGTGGCTGGGATCTAGGTGGTAATGCAGTTAGTCTCTCCCCATTCCTCCTCCTGGAGGCTCACTAGCTGTTTTGATTTCAGGGTATTGTGAAAAACATTGGGGGCCTGACAGAGCTCATAATGTGATCACCATTTTTCCTCATCATCCATTTCTGGGTTTTTCTTTTTCCCATATGACACTGGGGAAAGGCTGTCCATACCCCACTAGCTCTGCATTTTCCTGGAAACTGAGGCATCCAGATGGTTCCGGCAGTTATCCAAAGCCAAGATGCTTTGAGCACAGCATTGTGATAAAGTGTCTTTATATGCAACAGATGAATTTGCCTTCTAGAATGTGTGGAGATGTTGGAGGGACAATAGTTCCCAGCCAGGGAAATATTAATTAGTGGCCTGGTTCACTCTGCACCTTTTTCTCAGGAATTCTACTTAAGTCGTCTACCTCTTCCACCACCAAAAGACTTCTAGTTTCCTATGTTTTCTCCTGAATTTTGGCCGGTCAAGATATTCTGTAGCCAAAGCGATAGCCTCGATGATCTCGAGGAAAAATTTTAATCACTGTGTGTGAAGGTATTGAACATTGATTAATGGGCATAGAAATTCAGGATGTAAAGCTAGAAGCAGGGGATTTATGACAATGGGATTCCTCAGACCCTGTGTTTTCTCTCTGCGAGGCAAAGTGTGTTGAATGCCGAATAAATATAGAGTGACTTTTCTTGTGTGCAGCTTCCTTCTTGCCTTGCTCCTTTTGTGAGAATGAATCAGTTAGGTCTCTGGTTTACAGGTCACAGCCAACCTAACTCACAGCTTGAACATAAAAAAGAATTTGGGGCTCACTTCCATGCAAGGCCAGGTGTAGAGTGGCCTCAGGTAGGGGTTGATACCGGTGCTCAAACTGACGTTAGAATTCAGCTCTCTTCTTCTTCAAGTTGTCTTTGATGTCAGGCTGTGTTTGGTGGCAAGATTGCTGCTAACAGCAAAAGGTAGGCCTGCATCTTCGTAGGCTCACGCTGAGCAAAAAAAGGCATTTCTTTCCAGTGGATGCCGCACGATCCCATGATTCCCTCTAAACCATGTGCCTATCCCTGCCCCAGTCATTGTGTCATATGGACGGAATTATGCAAATAAGCAACTACCTCATTAATTTATCATTAAAATATCATTATGGAGCTGGAATTTATTTTAGATAAACTTAATCCAAATGCCTCAGGTTATAGAGATCAAGTGGAAATTTTACATATAGAGTCTTTGAACACAAGCACAAAGATTATAGTCTTTGAGCAGAGAATCAACATGAAATGGTGTCATGCCAATCATATCTTTAAACAGTGTTTGATAATTTGCTAAGAACTCAGAATGCTAAGAATACTGAGTTTGTAGGTAAGGAAGTTAGAAAAAAAGTCACATAGTTTGCTGTAATTAGTAGAGTTGTGACACTTTGACATCTATGCTTGCTCATTTGGAGAAGAAAACACTCCTACACAGCATGGAAATAGGAGGCTGTGTGGGAAACCGAGAACCCCTGAGCCCATAGATGCCAGGGGTGCAAAAAATGTAGAACTGGTGCTTTCTAGGCTGCACTGATTCTTCAGCGTGGGCCTGTCTGCAGGGGCCGGATGTATCATTTGTAATTTGAGTCATAGATATCTTGTCATTCCTCTAGAACTTTGCTTCACTTGTTTTTCCCATGTTTGTCTCTTCCAATAGACGATAAGATCTTTGTGGATAGAAACAGTAATTTCACTTTGATTCTTGGCCACTAGGGTGGTGTGTAGTAGGCACTCTAATGATAACTCAACGAGTGGCTAAACGATTTACAGAAGATTGACCAAATGAAACACCCAGAAGGCTAAACCCATCCAGATATAGAGGGTTAATTTGATTACATTAAATAATATTGTACTATTATTTAGTAATTTAATTCAAGCCAAATTATTTCCCAGGTTGTAATTTTTGGGGTTCTGGATTCCTCAGGTTCCCATGGGTCCTTCCTTGACAGTATTAAGGTCCCTTCTTTGTTAAGGGGTGGCTCTGCTGGTGTGGCTGCGGGTTATATTTAATCTTAGGGAAATGGCACGGTCTGGACTGAGTCTAGCTGAGATTTGTCAGGATTTTAGGTTTTTAATGACAAAAGGAGTGCTACTGTCAGTGCTAAATTTTTCCACAGGCGAATTATTCACCCCACATAACAATTCAAAAAGTTAATGACCACCTTGGAGCTGAGGAGTTCCAGCAGAGGGTCACTTCCCTTGAAAATGTTCCTATTTCACAGTGAGAGTCCTGGCAGGGCTCCCTGGCTGAGATTCCTCACCCAGAATCCCCATCTCCAATGCTCGCCCTTCACTCCTCCTGCTTCCCGGCTGGATTTGGGAGAGACAGCAGGAAAAGCCTATTTGGGGCTCATGTTTCTGGTAGCACCACCCAGTCGGCTCAGAGAATTATCTTTGAAAGCTTTGAGACGAGTATTCACTAAACAGATATTTCTCAAGAGTCTGGTGTCCATCCAGCAAGGGGATAGGCATGGTGGTTCCTGGGACCAATGAGAAGGCTTGGTGCCTGCCCTCAAGAAGCTTATGGTCTGGTGAAGAAGACACAGTGGACAGGCTGTTGAAAAGGTGATGGGTTTCGAGAAAGGGCAAGTAAAGGGTGCTAGAGGCTGTAAAACTGGGGCACTAACCATGTCTGAGGGGTCAAGGAAGAACATGCTGGGGTTGGCTGGGTGAAGGTTGGGGAAGAAAACTGTTCCACATGGAAGGAACCATTTGCACAAAACCCCTCAGGCAGGAGAGCCAGTCACGTCTGAGGAAACTGTGAAACTGAGGAACTAGCAAAAGCCAGTATGGCTGGAGCAATGAAAGAGAAGGAGAGGCGCCTCAGACATGGCTGAAGAAGTAGCCAGTCAGGCCATGGGAGGTCCTGAGGGCCGTGGCAAGGATTTGGGCTTTATACCTAGAACACAAATGAGCTTTGAAGGATTTCAGGCTGATGTGTGACCTGATAAGATTTATTCATTCTTAATATTTAATTTGTTCATTTCTCCCAGTGGTTCTCTACCATCTCTAACAGCCCCTCCAACCTTGGCCTGGGGGCAGTAGCCCAGGCGCTTAAGTCTTGTCCCTTTGAATCCTCTCTGCATCAGGCAGCCTGCAGAGCAGCCCACATGCAAATCCAGTTTCGAAAGTGGAGTGTCAGCCTCTGAGGTTTCACCAGAAAAAAAGAGGGGCAGGGAGCATCCACGCACGTCTCTGCGTCTCTCCTGGCCCGTGCAGTGTACCACATACCTCCAGGGTGACTGCATCATGCGGCCATCAGAGCACAGCCATTTCAGGAGCCAGAGGTGGGAGAGAAAAGGGAAAGGCATAAAACATGTAAGCAGGTTGGTTTTCCCCAAAGTTTCTTTTCCTAGACTTCTCCTCAACCACAAGGAAGAATATTTTTCTG